TCTTAATATAAATTTGTTTATTTTTAGTTTTCAACATTCACTTCCACAAGTTTTTGAGTTCCAAATTTTCACCCCATCTCCCCCTTCCCCCATCCCAAGATGTCATGCATTCTGAATATCCTTTCCCCTAGTCTGCCTTCTCTTCTATCTCTCCCCACTCCCTTCTCTTATCCCCTTCCCCTTCTATTTTCCTGTAGGGCAGGACAGACTTCTGTACCCCATTTCCTGTATTTCTTATTTCCCAGTAGCATGTGAAAACATTTTTTTAAAACATATGTTTTTAAAACTTTAGGTTTCAAATTTTCTCTCTTCCTCCCTCCCCACCCACCCTCATTGAAAAGGCAAGCAACTCAATATAGGTTGTACATGTGCAGTTATGCAAAACACTTCCATAGTAGACATGTTGTGAAAAACTAACTCTATTTCCCTTAATCCTATCCTGCCCTCCCATTTATTCTATTCTTTCTTTTGACCCTGTCCCTCCTCAGAAGTATTTACTTCTGATTACCCCTTTCCCAATCTGCCCTCCTCTCTATCATCCCCCTGCTCTCTTGTCCCCTTCTCCCCCTATTTTCCTGTAGGGTAAGACAGATTTCCATACCCAATTGAATGTGTATGTTATTCCCTCCTTAAGCCAAATCCTATGAGAATAAGATTCACTCATTCCCTCTCACCTTCCCCCGTTTCCCCTCCACTGTAAGAGACTTTTCTTTTCTGTTTTTTTTGTGAGATAATTTACCCCATTCTACCTCTCCCTTTCTTCTTCTCTAGTATCATCCTCTCTCATCCCTTAATTTTATTCTCCAGATATGACCCTTAATCTTCAACTCACCCTGTGCCCTCTATCTATCTATCTACATATACATACATATAATTTTTTTCCTCCAACTACCCTAATACTGACAAAGGTCTCATGAGTTATAAATATCATCTTTCCATGCAGGAATGTAAGCAGTTCAATCTTAATAAGTCTCTTATGATTTCTCTTTCCTGTTTACCTCTTCATGTTCCACTGAGTCCTGTATTTGAAAGTCAAATTTTCTATTCAGCTCTGGTCTTTTCATCAAGAATGCTTGAAAGTCCTCTATTTCACTGAATGACCATTTTTTCCCCTGAAGGATTATACTCAGTTTTGCTGGGTAGGTGATTCTTGGTTGTAATCCTATCTCCTTTGCCCTCCGGAATATTATATTCCATGCCCTGCGGTCCTTTAATGTAGAAGCTGCTAAATCTTGTGTTATCCTGATTGTGTTTCCACAGTACTTGAATTGTTTCCTTCTGGCAGCTTGTAATATTTTCTCCTTGACCTGGGAACTCTGGAATTTGGCTAATATTCCTAGGAGTTTTCCTTTGGGGATCTCTTTCAGGAGGAGATCTGTGGATTCTTTCAATTTCTATTTTGCCCTCTGGTTCTAATATATCAGGGCAGTTTTCCTTGATAATTTCTTGAAAGATGATGTCTAGGCTCTTTTTTTGATCATGGCTTTCAGATAGTCCAATAATTTTTAAATTCTCTCTCCTGGATCTATTTTCCAGGTCAGTTGTTTTTCCAATGAGATATTTCACATTGTTTTCTAATTTTTCATTCTTTTGGATTTGTTTACAGTGTCTGATTTCTCATAAAGTCACTATCTTCCAATTGCTCTATTTTTTTAAGGAAGTATTTTCTTCAGTAATCTTTTGGACTTCCTTTTCCATTTGGCCAATTTTTCTTTTTAGGGCATTTTTCTCCTCATTGGCTTTTTGGACCTCTTTTGCCATTTGGGTTAGGCTATTTTTTAAGGTGTTATTTTCTTCAGTATTTTTTGGGGTCTCCTTTAGCAAGCTGTTGCCTTGTTTTTCATGATTTTCTTGCATCACTCTCATTTCTCTTCCCAGTTTTTCCTCTACTTCCTTACTTGCTTCTCAAAATCCCTTTTGAGCTCTTCCAAGGCCTGGGACTGATTCATATTTTTCTTGGAGGCTTTGGATGTAGGAGCTTTGACTTTGTTGTCTTCTTCTGGTTGTATATTTTGATCTTCTTTTCACCAAAGTAAGATAATATAGTCTGACTCTTTTTGCGCTGCTTGCTCATGATCCCAGCCAATTACTTGAGTTTTAAACTCTTTGTTAAGGTAAGAGTCTGCTTCCAATGTGGAGAATGTACTGTTCCAAGCTTCGGGGGGTTTGTACAGCTGTTTTCAGAGATACTTGTAGGGACCTGTAAATTTTCAGTTCTTCCAAGGTGGTATGATAAGGGGCGAGGTGTTTACTCCTTTCCTGGCCTGTGACCACAAGTACTCCTTTCTGTCCTGTAACTGTGAGGAGGGTCCTCTCCACAGCACTACAAGCTCCACCAGCCAGCGCTCCTCCTCACCCCAGCACCACCGCCCAGAACTGTGACCCAGATCCACACACAGGCAAAGCAAGAGATTCCTGCCTCAGCACTGGCAAAGAGATCCCTGCAATCCCTCTCTGATCAGCCACTGGATTCCCCCTCAGTCTGTGGGCCAGAAGCTCGGGAAGCAGCTGCGCCCCCAGCGCCACACTCTTGGGGAATGGAGCTGACACCCCGCCTTCCTTTCTCAGCACCGACAGAAACAGACTTTTCCCACTGACCTTCTAAGTTGTCTTTGGCATTGGTGGATTGAGGAGTCTGGAAACCTCCACAGCTGCCCGAGATTCAGTCCTCTGAGGCCTGCTCCAGGCTCGAGGCGGCCTCCACACCCACGCCGCACTGAGCTGCGCTCCCAGCCCAGCGCCATACACCTTTTTGATCAATCATCCAGGTTGTCTTGGACTGGAAATTTTTGTTTCACTCTGTCTTTTTGTGGGTTCTGCTGCTTCAGAATTTGTTTAGAGCCATTTTTTATGAGTATTTGGAGGGGTTTGGAGGAGAGCTCAAGCAAGTCACTGCTTTCACTCTGCCATCTTGGCTCCGCCTCCCCCCGGAATTTTTTAAGAGATGTTACCCAGCCACACCTTCCCGACCCTGTACTTGTGCAGGGGAGGGTGTATGGGGTGTTTAGGGAAGATTAGTACCCCTGGTGTGAGGCTTGCCAAGGCCTTTTCAGGGTTGCTCATCTATCTTTGGTATCCATCTATCAACCAGGTCCCACCCGTGGCTCCAGGAAGCTACAGCATGTACAGCAGCCACAACAGTCTTGACAGAAAGGCTAAACTACTCAAACCCGTCTGAGTTAGGGGGATGTCTACCCCAAAACATATGAGGACTTCCCCTGGCAGAATGGGTGGATGAGAACAATTTGTTCCAACAACTGTAAAGGAGGCTAAAGCAGGCATGTGGAGTCCTTAGAGCTTGGTCAGACATCCAAGATGCCAAGGTCATCCACTGGATCCTGGGCCACTGCCAGCCATCTTGAGTTTCCTCTTGCCACTGGACTTTGATGACTCAGGAAGAAAAAGTGTCAACACTGCCTCACTTAATCCAATTCAGACATGAGTCAAGATGTCACCTTGTAATGTCAGGTCTTGAAAAATGAAGGACAAATAACAACAATATCTTGTAGAGGAACAAAGGCGTTTTATTCTACTGATCCTGTTTATCCCTATTAAATTCAGGCTATCATTCTAGCCTGAATAGATCTCCTTGGATCCTAGGCCCTGTTGTTGTTGTTGTTGTTGTTTCACTTCAGTGGTATCCTGCTCTTTGTGACCCCATATATGGGGTTTTCTTGGCAAAGTTTACCATTTCCTTCTCTAGGTCATTTTAGAGATGAGGAACTCTGACAAACAGGGGTAAGTGCTTTGCCCAGTGTCACACACCTAATACATATCTGAGGCTGGATTTGAACTCATAAAGTTGAGTCTTCCTGATTCCAAGCCCAGGGCTCTACCTACTGTGCCACCTAGCTGCCCAGACTCTGTTATGTATTCCAGATTAGTGTCATCTGCAAATCTGATAAGGATAACTACATACTATCTATACTTTCATTCAAATCATTAATAACAATGTTGAAGAGCATGAGATGAAGGTACTCCTGAGTCATTTTTCTTCCTCCAAGTTGACATTGACACATTTGAGTCTGGTCAGTCAGTCAAGTCCAAATTCAGCTCATTGCACTATTGGTATGTAGATATCATATAATTTATAATCAATCAAGTCAACTATAATTTTAGGTCTAATTAATAACAACTAATATTCCAATCTTATTCTTTCTAGTTATGAAAACTTGACCTTTACATAGTTTTTAATGGCTTTTTATCAATCAATTACAAATGATATAACATAAACATGCAATTATCTGCTAAAACTGTTCTCCCCCCCCAAAAAATACATTATTTTGTATAAGATACCATGTATAATATAAGATGCTGTAATAGTTTTTAAAATGTTATTTCAAATGAAGCAAAATTAATTTGATTTGAATCATCAAATAAATGAATTATTCATCAATAATGAACTGTAAATCTTAAAATACCACACAAATTATAGGCAACTTCATAATTGCTATTTGTCTTTACACCTAAAATTACCAGCAATGGTTTAAGTTCAATAGCTTTAAAATCTTTTCAAATGCCCCCAGTTTGTTTTAATAACTTAAATAAGATATATATATATATATATATACACATATATATATGTATATGTAAATTAATCAAAGGAAAGAAAGTTTGTTTCATTCCTTTAAAGCAGTGGAGTCAAACTCAAATAGAAAGAAAGGGAGGCACTAAACTACACATAAAGACCCTGCGGGTCATATATTGACTTAAAACACCACACATTAACACTATGTTCTACTGTATTTTTATTTAGTTTTTAAAATATTTCTCAATTACTTTTTAATCTAGTTCTAGCCACTCCAAAGTGTTGCTGGTTATCTCTGCTTTAAAGTATGATTTTATTTTTTTAAATGTTCAGAAAAGCATGTATGCCAAAATGATTTGCCTTTTTTTTTGATTGACTCTTGATTTCCTCTGTACCTAATAAGATGGTTATTACTCATTGTGTAAGATTAGACCCTGTGAAGTGTTCATAATATCAGATACTGCTATGTTACCTGAAACCACAGAAGAGTCGGCCAAAGATGATTCCAATTCATCATTTTCAACAGTTAGACTATCATTTTCTTCTTCTTGATGATCCGATAAAGAAATAAGTGTCTCTTCAATGACATGACCATCCTTTGGGGATAATTTTTCAATTCCATTTTCCTTAATCTCTGTTTTTTGAGCAAAAATATTAAAACACAAATGATATTTCAAGACAAGTTGCTTTTTGTAGACAACATATAAATTTATATCTTTAACAGAAACGTTTCTATTAAGTAACATTTCTGTTTAAAATTGAAGTTTAGTTTCAAATGCTTGACTCAATTCACAAAAGCTAGGATCATGTATTTTAACCTTATAAAAATATTTATCCTCCATAATATCTCACTCAAGTTCCTCCTTGTGGCATGGATTGATCCTAGGTTTTAAAAGGCTTTATCACTGGAGCTCATGTTCTGGAAGCTGCTCCTAAGCTAGAAAGGTTTTAAGTAGGGTGGTGGTAATACTTTTTTCCAGGACCAGCCTAGCTAAGTACAGTGAGGCTCATCACCGTTGAGTGTGGTAATACTTAGTGGCATGGTTTGAACCTAACCTTGCCTGGCTGAGAAACCAGACCTGTTTCCTAGAGACCAGATTTATTTAATGCAAAACTCAGGATGTAGATTATATTGTCTAGAAACCCAATCAGATCTGAAGATTGATGGATGGAATGTGAGGAGTTTCCTCTTGCTATACATCTTAAGGAACCTGTTTGTCTTATCTAAACTTCCCCCATGCTGGCCAATCAGCTATTGTTTCCTTGCGCCTTTGTTTGAATCTTATATAATATATAACTTACAGACCCTGGGTAGGGGAGCACCCTTTTTTTGCTCTCCTCTCGGCCTGACAACTTAATAAACTTCTTTCTAAATTATTTAAGTTCTTGGTTTTATTCCCTGCTGCATTACATGCTAGACAGTTTGTGATGAATTTTTTGATCTGCAATCCATGAAATGATGAAAAATACAAAATAGCCCTCAATCCTGTGTGGCCCACTTCCATTTGAATAGTAATCAGGAGAGAATGGTGCTAAATTGGGCAAAGAGTGCCAAAAACCATGCTATTTTTTGGATCATATCTAATGTCCTGGTACTCTAAATCTGAGATCTTGTCCAGGGACCAACATAGTACTGACATAGTATTAGAGTAAATGTATCATAAATATTGACATTCTCATTACCAATGAAACCAGAAGACAAAAGTACATTCCAGCTGAATGGAAGGATGGCTTCCTGAGTTTTCTTGTAGAGACAAATAAAGGAGCTGCTAACAAAGTTGGTTTTATTGTATATCCAAAGGCAACAAGAAATTTCATTTCATGGGACATTTTATCATCTTATATTTCAATGTTCACAATAGACATTTGCAAAAAAAAAAGCACCATTAAAATAACTGCAGTTTGTGCATTAGTATTTTTTACAGACAATAAGAAGCCAGAGGCATTCTACAAAAGAATTCCATAGGAACCTCTAATTAAATCAACATCTACTTTAATGCTCAGTTACTTCAATGCCAATGCAGACATAGGAGATGACAGCAAAAAATGTTGGAAACATGGTTCAGGGGTAAGAAATAAGAAACAAAAGGCTTGTAAAATATAAAGAATCCTTGTACCTACGTATCATGAGTAGTTTCTTCAATAAAAGAGTCCAGAATGAAAAATAACCGAGATACCACCTTTCAATTCTAACATTATAGTCTGTTACAGTAGCATGAGGCCCTAACTGAGGAAACAGAATCTCGTTAAAGAAAACAAAAATGGAAGAGGAGGCTGGCCAAACTAAGATACTCAGATTTGCACTGTTCTAGAAGCAGCATAATTCTGAAAATGTTGGGGAAGTAAATTCTCAAAGGATTCCAAAAGATGATTCCAATTCATCACTTTCAGCCACTGAGAAGGATATGGAGTTCCATGTGTGAGAAACAAAAAAAGATCAGATTGGCTGGACCTTATTAAGTGGAAAGAGGTGTATATTTAATAAGGCCAGAAAGATAGGATGGAGTCATTATAAGGTGTTTTAAAAGCCAAATCGCATAGTTTGTATTTTATCTGACAAGTAATAAGGAACCACTGGAATTGATTGATTATGGGAGTGATATGGTTGGATCTGTATTTAAAGAAAATCACCCTGGTAGTTCTATAAACCATGCATTGGAGTAGGGATAGACTTGAGACAGGGAGACCGATTTGGAGGTTACTGTAATAAATAAACCAGGAAAGAAGTGATAAGGACCTGAACTAACTTGGTGGCTATATGAGTAGAAAGAAGGAACAGATTGAGAGATGTTATGTATGTAGAAATGACAAAATTTGGTAAGTAATTAGATATACTGAGTGAGGCAGAATGAGGGGTCAAACACAACTAAGATTAGGAACCTGACAAAATGCAAGAATAGTGATGCCCTCAACAGAACCAGGGCAATTAGGTAGAGGGGTAGGTTTGGGTGTGAAAGACAATGAATTTTATTTGATGTCATCAGCACAAGAACAACTGAAAACAAGAGGATCAAAATGAATTTGAGATGTCACCAGGATATCCAGGTAGAAATGTCTAACCAGAGAGGTGGAGGCTGAGTTCTGAGCTGTGAGCTGCAATAGCTTATATTAATTAGCTGTCTGGGTTACCTAAGGAGGGCCAAATAGTCCTAGGTTGGAAACAGAACAAAGGTCAAACAGGTCAAAGCTGCTTTTCTAATCAATGGTGATCTTGGGCCTCAGAGTAGCCCTCAAACTTTCCACTTGGGTGAGATGGGAGACCCAGTCTTAAGTTTGGGGGGGGGGTGTTTTATGGAAATGTCCTCTAGGCAGTTAGTGATACAGTACTGGAATTTAGGAGAGAGAGTAGCAATTCACATCTGGGAGTTACCTGAATAGAGAGGATAATTAAAACTACAGTAGCTGTTGAGGTCATCAAGAGGAAGAATGTAAATAGAGAAGTGAAGAGGGCCTAGGACAGATCCTTGGGGTATACTCACTGTTAGGAGACAAGATATGAGAAGCCAGCAACAAAGACTGAGAAGAAGTAACTAGGCAGAGAGAAGATGTGGCACAAAATTCCAAAGAGAAGATCTGGTAAGAGGGGACAGTCAATAATGTTGCAACAAATGCAGCAGAGGTCTAGGAAGATAAGAACTTAGAAAGGAACATCAGATCTGGCAAATGAGAGATCACTAGTACTTTCAGAGAAAGCTGTTTCAGTTTAGCAATGAGTCTGGGGTCAGACTGCAAAGATGTTTCTCGTGACTATATGAAAATTATATAATATTCCTTGAAATATTTAATAGCTATTTGTTAAAAAAAATCTCTGGATATGAATATCAAGCAAGATATGAATTGGGAGAAGGGTGCTCACCAGAGATTTTTGCCATTTGTTATCAAAGATGCAGAAGTTTATCTAAATACAAATGGGGTTCCTTATAGATGGGGAAATCCTTTTATTTTCTGTTGACATTGTGCTGATGTCATCAAGCTTCAGAAGATTGTGGAGCCTTCTAACTGACCTCCAAAATCACTCAAGAGAACTGATCTAACCATCTACACAGAAAAAACCCAAGCGGATAAAAAGAAATTTTTACCCTGATCAGAACATGTTACCAAATAAACAACACACAGAGCTGGTTCATCGACACAAAATTTTAAAGAAACCATAAATGGAAAATGAAATGGAAATAGAATAGAATACTAGGGAGATAACTGTCCAGAATGTCTTTGGAAATTTTTCAACGACCCCAATCTTTCAATGCTTTCAATGACCCCAATCTTCTTTCAATGATGTTGTATAACGGAAAGATATAAAATACCACAGCCTCCAAAGAATTAAAGTTGTTGGTCACTCAAAGGATAATGGACAGACATCTCTGGTGGGCATGAGTAGGCTGCAACATCCAACCAACCAAAAAACTGTACAAGAGAAGAATTGCAAAGGATACCATCAGAAAGATGTATAATGGAAAATTAGATGAGTCATATAGCAAGATCCAGGCATACTTAAATGAAAAGCTCACGTCACCTAATAGTATCTGTGCAATGTCAAATGATTTGAAGAAAGATTTCCCAACATGTTGGGTGGTACCTCTGTGAAAGATTTAGGAAAGAAAACAGACAGCATGCAAGAAGTATGTAAAGTTGTGTTGGGTTTGCTACCATACTGTTGAAGGGAGCACATATGTCAATGCACAGATCCATCAAAGTATATAAGTAACAGTATTTATATTTTTAATAGGGATGTCCTTCATTAATGCCTTACTATAGTGTCTCATTATGGCATAGGGTAATCTCATGTTCTTAAAGGTTATGGCAAATCTCTAGCTGTGGTAAGTTTTACCAAGATGGTAAGGCTTCTTGTATTGACCTATTGAGTACATGTCTTGTCCAAGGATCAACATAGCTAAGTTTGTAGCAGAACATCACCATAAAATTGATCACCCGGTGATTACCTATTTATTATTTGACTACTAATTCATGGAAATGTGGAGAAGCTGTGATCTGCCTCCAAGGGACTGATAAAATTATGGAATTTTATATGTATATGTATATATATATATGTATATATATATACATATATATATATATATACATATATATGTATATATGTGTGTGTGTGTGTGTGTGTGTGTATAATCACTAATAGATATATATATATAACCAAAGGGTATATAAGATCATATGAGCAAAAGTTTAAAAGCAAAGTGAATTATCAATTTTCACCCATATTACTTATCTATAATGTAAGCATTACCACACACCTTTGTTAGTTTGTGTGACTACATAGTACTCACTGTTTCTACAAGACAAAGTCAGCAAAATTTTTGTTTATATTTCTAAAATGTAAACATATTAGACAAAAAGAATATTGGAATGGGCAATGAATACTTCTAGAAGTAGTCTAAGAAGGTAGTAAGTAGTGAGAAAGCCTAAGTTCAAGGTACAACTCTGCCAGGCAGTGTTTATGTGACCTTAGCAAAGTCGTTTCCCTTTGATGAATCCATTTCCTTACCTGTAAACTGTGGATAATAACTTTCTCTGTTTACCTAACAGGATTTTTCTGAGGATAGAATGAGATGATATATTTAAAGAACTTTTTAAATTGATGAGGCACTATACAAACATCATCTATTATTTTTACCATGT